GGTTGGTAGACAAAGAGGGTAAGACCCACTGCACTGTCGTGTGAAAGATCACTATCAGCTGTATTCTCAGTCAAGTAGTCTTTCTGCATAAAGGCAACAATTATCAGCAAGGAACTCAGAAAGCAGACTATCGCAAGCCCTTGTTTTTAAAAACTGCACTGAATTATACACTAGCTAATTATGAGATAAATGAGAATAATAACAAGGGTCTATAAGAAAGGAAATCAGTGCTGACATTTCCTTTTGGCTTCTAGGAATGTCTTCTGAGGCTATAACATAAGAGGCAGGCAAGGGGTGTGGGTGGGAGGAGTGGAAGGCTTAGTGTTTCCCATGGGGAAATAAATCAGGGTGCCTGGCAAGTGTGCATGAGGCCCTGGGTTCCAGTCTCAGCACTGCACAAATAAATAAATAGAATGAATAAATAAGGCAACATAAAGTGTAGACAAAGAGGGGCTGGGAAGGTGGCTCAGTGGTAGAGCGCTTGCCTTCCATGTCTGAGGCCCTGGGTTCGATTCCTCAGCACCACATAAGCAAAAAGAAAAAAAGCCGGAAGTGGCTCTGTGGCTCGGGTGGTAGAGCGCTAGCCTTGAGCTGAAGAGCTGAGGGATAGTGTCCAGGCCCAGAGTTCAGGCCCCATGGCCAGACCCCCCCCCAAAAAAAAAAGTGTAGACAAAGAGCTATAATAAGAGGAAGAAATGGAAAGACTATCCTCCATAAGTATCAAGTTCATATGACAGAATATCACTGAGATGATATTTGTATCATTTTTTATATTTGGCTGTTTAGTTCTGTTTTGGCAGTACTGGGCTTTGAACTCAGGGCCTCAAGTCAGCTAGGCAGGTGCTCTACCACTAGAGCCATGACTGTCAGCCCTTTTTGTTCTGTTTATTTTTCAGATAGGGTATCATGTTTTTGTCCGGGGATAGCCTCAGATCATGATCCTCCTACATAAGTTTCCAGCCTAGCTGCAATTACAGATGTGAGTTACCTTACTTGGCTTATTGAAATGATGGTCTCATTAACATTTTTCCCAGGCTGTCCTCAAACCACAAATCTTCTGATTTCTACCTCCTGAGTTGTTGGCATGAGCCATCGTGCCTGGCCCTTAAAGAAAATAAAAACTGGGGCTGGGAAGGTGGCTCAGTGGTAGAGTGCTTGCCTCGTATGCATGAGGCCCTGGGTTCGATTCCTCAGCACCACATAAACAGAAAAAGCCGGAAGTGGTGCTGTGGCCCAACTGGTAGAGCACTAGCCTTGAGCTGAATTGCTGAGGAACAGTGCCCAGGCCCAGAGTTCAGGCCCCATGACCGGCAAAAAAAGAAAGAAAATAAAAACTAAGTGTAGCAACATCTAGGAACATAGATATCCAAGCAACTGTAAATATGAATAATAAAACATTATCCCTGGCTCTGATTTTTTTTATTTTTTATTTTTTGTCGGTTGTAGGGCTTGAACTCTGGGTCTGAGTGCTGTCCCTCAGCTCTTCAGCTCAAGGCGGGTGCTCTACTGCTTGAGCTACAGCACCACTTCCGGTTTTCAGGAGGTTAATTGGAGATAAGAGTCTCACAGACTTTCCTGCCTGGGCTGGCTTTGAACCGTGATCCTCAGATCTCAGCCTCCTGAGTAGTTAGGATTACAGGCCACCGGTGCCCGCCTCCTGGCTCTGATATTATAGTGTATAATTTATTCTCAACACAGTAACCAGAATTTCTTTAAAAGAAGAAGGTTACGTCCTGTACTCAAGACTCTTCCAAAGGCTTCTCATTTCACTAAGTATAAAATCCAAAGTTCTTACAATGGTGCACATGGACCATCATGGTCTGATTTTGTCCCCAGCCCTGACATTTTTCCAGCTACACTTGGTTTCCTTGTTTTTACTAGAACCTACCAATTGCACCCCTGCCTTAGGTCCTTTGCACTTGCCATAGCCCCTCTACTTTCCTTCCATAGTGTGCTTTGGATCTCTAAATATTATTTTAGCAAATGAGTCCCTCCACTTGTTCCCAGGACCCTTTCCCTGCTATGCCTTGAATAGTTTTTCAATATCTATGAAGTTGCCTTACAGTTGACCCTTCTGTGTTTTCAGTCTCTCTCCTATTAGGAGAGCTGTCTTTCCAGGGACACAGAAGATACTCAATAAATCTGTGAATTCCCAAATGAACAAATGCATTAGACTGGAAACTCCCCAGGCACAGCGCAACAGAGACTCATATCACTCAATCGTGTATGTGCCTAAAACAGGAACCTATGCCAGCTCAACAGCACCAGGAACATTTCCCTTGCATCCAACTCACTCCCGAAAAGCTACTTGCAATGACAGCAGGGCTGGTGGCAGGAAAGCACTGGCAGGAGAGGGAGATAAGAGTTCTCGGCACAAAGTGCAGGAAAGTTTCCAGCAGAAAACTCAAGCTCTTCCGTTAGGATCTGCCACTTGCAATGTGGACCTAACTCCAAGTTCTTATTTCACAATCAGCTACACGTACCACACTGTGAGTGGTACTTAAAACCTGACATTTTCAATGCCCTTTCTGTTTACTTTTCTCTTTATTATGATTAGATAATTTTCTAAGAGAAAAATGGCATCAGGAAACCAATTTCCCTGCCCCCTCCAAAAGCAGACAGGAAACGTCAGTGCCTGGGCATCATACCCATTGATTTAGGTACCACATACACCGCTTATAGGGCAGCTATACTAAATGCCTGTGGAATGCCTGGTGCTGCCAGAGCTAGCGTCTCCATCTTGCTAAGCTTTATCAGTGCCTAAGAATTCAAGGGCAAACTGATAGCATAATGGAAAAACTCATATTCTTGGCCTTGGGAAAGATAAGAAAACACATCCAAAGCTATTTCAGACTTTTCTGGGCACAGGAGTGCTCTGCCGGATGTTTCCCTGGTGCAGCAGGTCAGGACTGTTAAGCACTGTGTGAGCAGCTTGTGATGAGGTGGACAGGGCATCTGCTCCCCATTGATTCCATTGGGATCCACACTGTCCTCCATCCACTTCCTTTATTTTGATGGCTCCTTGACCTCTGACCTCATGAAAATATTTGAAGGAATTTCCCTCCTCATGGATATTCAATATCTGCATTTTAGGGGCTGAGAAGGTGGCTCAGTGGTAGAGTGCTTGCCTCATATGCATGAGGCCCTGGGTTCAATTCCTCAGCATCACATAAACAGAAAAGGTCGGAAGTGGTGCTGTGGCTCAAGTGGGTAGAGCTCTAGCCTTGAGCTGAAGAGCTGAGGGACAATGCCCAGGCCCAGAGTTCAGGCCCCACGATGGACAAAAACAAACAAACAAAAAAAAACAAACCAAATAAACAAAAATCTGCATTTTAAAGATGGGCCTCTAAAAGCAATAAGAACCTCATTTCAAAGGCAGATCTCCTGGTTGGGGGGTGGGAGAGGACTGGGGAGGGAAACATCAATTATATTTTGCATGCTGGATATCTTGAACCCATGGAATTCTCATAGTAATACTACGAAGTGAGTAGTATCATCACCATTTAGAACCCAATGTGAGTGCCCACTTTGAGACCCTGACATCACTATTTCAGACACACAGGTGAAATATTTTTATTTACAACGACACATGAAACTATTTTTAAAACAAGTAAACTAATTCGTGCTCTGAAACAAAATATGCATCACAGTGGATCAGAAACCCATACCATTTGCTTTTGTTTATTTGTTTGTTTGTTTCCCTATATGGCTCAGAGTGGCCTCAGACTCATAATCTTTCTTCCTCAGGTACGTATCTGTACTAAAACTACAGGCATGTACCACATCTGCCTACTTACTATTTTGAGGAGCTGAACACACTGCCTGTGGACTTGTAGGCAGGTGGTGGCAGCGAGGAGATGGGTTTTCCTGGATATGGGAATTTTAAATGTCCCATGGGAGGTGGGGTAGAGGCCAAGACACTAAAAATGGGGCTTGTAAGGGAGTTTGCTACCTGGGAGAGGAGGCTGAAACCTTCAGAGGCCAGCCCCAAGTCAGGAATGCATCCGAGAGAATGGGCAGGTGCCCACACAGCAGGGCCAGAGCCCGGCTCCCATGCTCTGGGAATAATCCCATTATCCCCATGGACAAGCAGCTCATCAGGAACCCAGGACACCTGGCTTCTCCCTAGGGGACTCAGGACTCAGGATGGAGCTGTGGCACCATTCTGCAAGGGGAGCAGTTAAGAGCTATTTTCCAATATGTCTTCCAGATGATGAAATGATGATAGTCAAGGTAATAGTCAAGGGTGTTATGGCTGAGAATTTTCCAGAGCTGAAAACATGGTACAGATCCTCACTTGAAAAGCACATGCCTAGTGTCAAGCAGAATACATAAAAAGACAACACAGATCTGGAGAGCTGGAGACAGAGAAATGTACCCTCTGCCCAGCTCCTCTGTTTCTGTAGCCAGGTCCATTTGGCTCCATTCTGATTTCAGGACAGTGAGGAAGCCCGAGTCTGAATCAACTTCCTCCCCATGCACAGGGTTAGAACTGGGATGAGCACCCTAGCACCAGGAAGGACTCTGTGGGTAGCAGCATCCCATCAGGCTACGGCTGAACTTGGTTTCCAGTACACAAAGCCACTTAGCCTCTGTACCTCCATTTACCCATCAGGAAAAGAAAGACAGGAAGAGCTCCCACCTACAGGGTGTGTGGGGAAGAAACCTATGAACCGATGTAAGGGGCTTAGCACACACTTTAGTAGATGTCAACCCCAAGTAGGCACAACTGTTACCATAGCAACAGAAGCCAGTGTCACATACCTCACTCTGAGTGAGGGGCATCCCACCGATACCAGAGACACAGAATGAGGGCCCAGGACTGCCTCTGCACAGGTAGGTGGCAAGCCAGCAGTGTGTCCCTGTCACCCTTCTCCCCTGGGTGGTCCCTCTTGGCCCCCAGAGAAGTACCTGACAGTGAACAACTGACCAACCCCCATGTGTGAAGCGCTCCACAGCCACCCCAGCCCACCCTGTTCCTGTGCCTGGGCTCTCCCTACCTCTCTCTGCTCACTGCAGATCTTACATAGCCACAGGGGCCGCTTCTGGCCAGGGGTGATCTCGATCCCACATTTGGTGCAGACTTTCTATAAGAAAAAGGACATGGATATGTCAGGTCTCAGCCTACTTCCTCCTCAGCTGAGGGATGGGGACAACGGCAGCCAGAGGACACTTCATCAACTTCTCAGGGGGCCGCTTTTGCTTCAGGACACAAGGACAGAACTCCCCAAAGGCAGAGATAATCTAAAACTCCTTGGCCAACTTTGGAGCAGCAAGTGGACCCCATCCATGCATCTCCATACTAATGATCAATCCACCTGCCCACTGCGCCACCCCCCCCCCCCCCCCAGTTTGTGCTGTTAGCACTACATCAAAAACCAAGCTCATTGATCTTCCCAGTTGCAGGGGCAACAGCAGGACAGAACTGAAAATGACCCAAATGCCCAATACCAGGGAAGGTGCGGAGAAACATGGTAGAGGGTAATGGCAGCCTGCACAGAGCAACCTGTGTAGCCTTCCAGAAATGTGGGCCGAAATACTGTCCTCCAGCAAAGAAATTATACACACATATACAATCATGCAACACACACACACACACACACACACACACACACACACACACACACACACACAGAGTGTGCCCAACAGCTCAGGAAAAATACCAGTGATATTTTGAGCTTGCACTTTATGCCAGGTCCCTTCACTGAAAAAGTTCCCAGGATTCCTTGGGTGATCTTGAGGATGGGGTTCAGTTTTCAGGAGGAACTCAGGGTATGGAGGACTTTGAGAATTTGCCCAAGACCAGGAGCAAGTGAAGATGGGGTTCAAGGCTGACTCTGGAACATTCTATCATTTCCTCTGCATACACAGTCAGAATGTAGATTCTATGTTTTTCCATCTGCGGAGTTGTTTAAGCTCCTGACTTCTAAACACATAGTTTGCTTTCCCTAGAGGCGCAGCAACAGCCTTGGTGAAGAAGGCCAGGGAAAACACACTGGGAGGCAGAGGTGGACTTGTTGGGGCTCAGCCTGGCTCTGGGCCCACCAGGGAAAGTGTGATTCAATGATGGCACCTCCTCCTAAAGGGGAGGGAGATGGGACTCTGTGCCTTGGCTCCCTGCAGGGGTGAGGACTCTCTCCTGTCCCCTGCTGAGGGACGGTGGGAATCTGTTACTTGGCCTTTTCTGCAGGCTGCCAACTGAGCAAGGCGCACACCTCTCCGAGGAGAGGGAAATGTCACCGACTTGGCTTCCCAAAGCATGTGTCACCATCCTGATTGGGAGGCTGAGCTGGGCTCTGCAGGAGAGAAGGCAGCCAGTACCCATGGAAGGGAAGCTATGACACATCCGTGGGGGCACAATTGGCTGCCATCCCAGGATCAGGTGCAAAAAATGTCACTTCTCTATTTCTCCAAGTAAAATAGGATCTGTTCCAAGCCCTGGTCCTCCTGGCTGGCAGGGAAGTTACTCTCAGAGCCCATCATCCTGAGGCCATTCCACTGGAGAGTCTATGTGGGGCACAGCCCACTGCTATCTGCTGGTCCTTTGGGCTCTCATGGTCAACTAAAAGGCAAGGGACCCACTTTAGTGTTAGTGTTTGCTTTGGGATCTTTGCCAGGCAGAGGGGGTGTCTCAGGGACCAATCAACTGCATCCCTAGACCATAAGCTACTAACCTGCCCTTTTCCTAGGGTTAGTTCTCCTCACCTCTCACCCTTATCCTCATTTCTAGGGCAAGACCAACCACCACTCACAAGGTCTCTCCTCCCTGGGGAAAGGAGAAAGAGGCACTGAAGCCAACTTACTTGGTCTTTCCTCTAGATGCCTAGTGGTATATGTGAAGGAACTGTGGCCTCAGAGAGGCCAGATTTCCCTGCTATATTCTTTCTTTCTTGTTTGGTGGTACTGGGGTTTGAACTCAGGGCCTTATACTTGCTAGGCAGGCACTCTACCACTTGAGCCATTGCCCTAACCCTTTTTTTGTTTTAGTTAGTTTTCAGATAAGGTCTCATACTTTTTTTGCTCATGTAACTCACATAGCTGGGATTACAAGTGTGTACTACCACACCTGGCTTTGTATTATACTGTTTATATATGTATGGTGTTCAATGGCCGTGTAACCTAAAACACAGAGTACTCTGCCCTTCCCAAAGCCATGGAATGAGACTGTAGTCTTGAAAATCAGGTAGGAATGAAACACCAATAGCTATTATTTACTGAGCCACTAATTATAAAGGAAGGAGTGTTGGGATCTCCCCAATAATGGAGGCTCTGGTGTTATAGGCTGCTAGAGCCACACAGCTAGATAGAAACAAAGTGGGATCTTGTGAAGTTCAGGAGAGTGATCACATACTTCCCTCCTTCTATTTTTTTCTGGGAAGGAGACCCATGCTGTTCTGAGCGCCCCCCCCCCCCACTCCCCCCTGCCGACTTAGGGATGGCTGTTCCTGTCCTAGAGGAGAAGGAAGAGGGTGAATGGTGGAAGCGAGAAGAGGCTTCGTGTCCAGAGGTTTGGATTACTGGTTCCTCAGGCTCACCCCCAGCCTGATATCTGGTTCTGTACAGGCAGGTCCCTGGTATGGCTGAAGTATTTCAAATAACAGCGAAGAGAAGGCCACACAGAGGATGATACAAGACAAGGGTTTGCTGGATTCAGGTGCAGCCAGAATACATTCACAGGCCTCCTGATGCTGGCTCACAGTCAGTCTGGTCTGTCCTGAGTTCTCTCAGGAAGGAAGAAATCTTTCTAGCTGTAGACTGAAAGCCCAAACTCAGCAGCCTTCATGACACCTGCAGGCTTCCCCACAGCCTGGTGGCCACTCTCCTCTACATACAAGGACAAGGGGAGGGGATAGTGCAGCCTGGGCCCCTGTCTGTATCAGCTGCCATAACGTAAGTATCCTAGATTCAAGCTGGGTGCTGGTGGCTCATGCCTGAAATCCCAGCTACTACGGAAACTGAGATCTGAAGATCGTGGTTCAAAGCCAGCTCAGGTGGGACAGTCTGTGAGACAATTGTCTCCAATTAACCACCAAAAAGCTGAAAGTGGTGCTGTGGCTCAAGTGGTAGAGTGCTAGCCTTGAGCACAAAAGCTCAGGGATAGTACCCAGGCCCTGAATCAAGTTCTAGGACTAGTATAAAGGAAAGAAAAAGAAAAAAAGGTACCCTAGATTGAGAGGTGGAAACAACAGAACTTTTTTTTTCTCATTTCTGGATGTCTGAGCCCCTAATCAGAGTGTGGTGCTGGCATGGTTGGTCCTGGTTTGTGGAGAGCCACCTTGCTGTGTACCGTCATGATAAGAGAGACACACTCTGGGCTCTTCCTATAAAGACATCATCCTCCCTCCGGGTACCCTCATGAACTGTCTAACCCAAAGCAAGACCCAAAGGGCTCACCTCCAAGCATCATTCCTCAGAGGTAGGGCTCACCATATGGATTTCAGGGACATACATTCCATCTAGCACAGTCCTCTTCAGGACTGGGCTCTTCTTTACATCTGCAGGTTGAGGGCCCTAGAAATGGAATTATATCTATGTCATCTTTCTTTCTACTCCACCTCCTGAACACTCCAGCTTCTGCTACCCAATGCTTCATCACTACTTTCATGTTCCTAAGTCCTGCTGAGGGCTCCTGCATAGGCAATGTGGCCTGGCACGGGGGCAGAGGCTTTATGCGAGGTAGACACAGGCCTGGGAAATCTGCCTGCAGCCCCTCTAACCCTCAACTGTTTCCATCTGTAAAATGAGATATTTGTCCTCAAGGGGTGCTTTGGGGATTGACTGAGATGTACATGCAAAGCTACATAATAAACACATAATAAATGCCAAAGTTATTAGTAGTATTAAATAGCCACCAGCAAAGGTGGCTATTTAAAGTGAAATCAGGTTTGGAGTATGGTTGTTTAGCATGCTCAAAAGCCCTGGGTTCCATCCCTCTCATTTTGAGATCAAAATGGTGATGATGATGATGATGATGACAATTCAATTAAAAACACTGAGCTCATTTCAAGTACTCACAAGGCTGCCACACATGGCTGGTAGCTACGCTACAACAACAAGAGCCAAGACATCTTATCACATTCTGCTGGCCAATGCTGGACTGCAGAACCCAGTGCCCAGCCTCCATGCAGGGCTCACAATCTGCCTCAATAGCCTACTCCTGAGACTCCTTAAGATGCTCCAATCCTAAGACGCTCCCAGGCATCCTGCATCTCTCTATCCCCATCTCCACTTGCCCCTGCTGGCTCACACCAACCTTCCCACTTGCTCACCCAGGTGAGCGTTGCCTGCGGGAGGCCATGCAGAGCACAGCCCTGGGCTGGCTCTGGCAGAGCCAGGCCTCACTGTGTCTGATCAATAGCTACAGCTCTCTCAGAGGCTGCCCTGCCAAGGGTGAGGGCTGCTCAGCTGCATCCCAGGAGGGACAGTTCAGCAGGGCTTTGAAGAATGAACACGCACAACCTTGGCTAATTCCATCTGACTGATTGAACATCTACACTGTTAGGGGCAGAAAACAAAGCAAAGAGAGAAATCACCAGTGGTACTCCCTAGACACTGTGTTGAAAATGAACTATACAACTTGTAGGTGTGGACAAGAAGGAAAAACAGAGAGAGCAAAGGAAGGGGTAACATTGTCCTACAAGAGGTATACTTATTACCTGACTTACATAACTATAACCCCTCTGTACATGACCTTTACAATAACAATAAAAAAGAGAGAATTCACAAAAGACTAGGCAAGATGATATATGCCTATACAATCCCACCTACATGGAAGCAGAAGCAGGAGGATTGCTCAATTTAAGGCCAGCCTAGGCAAATGCATTAAGACCCTGACTCAGAAAAAGAAAAAACAAAACAAAACAATTGACCAACCAACCAGGCTGGAGATGTAGCAGTAGAGGTGGAGGTTGCTCAGCATCAATAAGACCTTGAGTTTAATCCCTAAGAAGAGGAGAAAAAAAATGTCCTATTCTTTCCCACAGACTCAAGGATATACAGCCACCAGCTTGGAGACAGGAGCAGCATGAACCAGTCTCCCTTCACAGGTAAGGTCAAAGGCTGTAAATCAGCTCCAGTAGGGAACCCC